AAAAAGCTGTTCCACCCCCTTCATGCCTTCTCCCGCTCTTTCTCTACATTTCTCTGCATTATGTGGTGTTCTTGTGTTGAGGATGAGACATACAATACAGGCTTTTCAAGGATATGATGAAAAACAGCTAACCACATCCCAGCACACACACACACACACATTAGGTACATTATAGTCTAGTTTGTGCAAACACACAGCGACTTTAAGCTACTCTGTAATTTTCTAAGTTTCTCACCCAATCACACTAGTACAGAGGCATGTAGACACCATATACACTGGACTCTCAGATCACATGAACATGATTTGTGAACTTTATGAAAGTCTCTCTTGTTAGAAACCTCTCAGAGAATACTGATGAACCATTTAAATAGCTAAAATAGTACTTAATATTAATTGTACTATAATAAACCTCAAATTGTGGTTGTCTTTTAAAATGTAGGAAACTACATAGACTATATAAACTCTATAAAGACTATAAAGACTATCATTTGACGCATGTGGCAAATCATTACATGCCCCAAGTACACATTCATTCACAAAACTGCTCTGTTGTTGAGTTTACTACATAGAATACTATATATATATACATAATATTGTCACATGATCAAATAGTTTAAATACTGTCTGTAATACTGTTGGCAATGTTTAGGTTACAACTAACAAAGAAAAAGGCTACACTTTGAGAGTTTAGCTTGTTTGACTGCCTGCTGTGGCCAGATCTGTCATCTCTCATTGTTGCTCTCTCTCCCACAACTACCACAATGCCGTATCCCTCTCTCGCTGTCTCTCTCTCCTTCTGTCTCTCTCTCACACACACAGAAGTGGAGCCACTTCACAGTCAGCGGGTAGCGGTTGTTCTGACTTACTTCTCAGGGGCCTCTGATGTGTTATCCAATGAGCAAATAGCAGCAGACATTTTGACATATAATAGCAAAGAGGAGCACAGGTGCAACTAATACCATTAATAATGGCCGTATTTCATTTAGCTGTTGTTGTTCCAGGGTTCTGGTATTGTAGATACTGGATTATTGTCAGGGCTTGATTAATGTTATTAGCCACACATGCTTTTTCCTGTTATTACACATAAATCAGCTAATTCTACTGATACTCAACCAATTCCCCAGTTGCAATGGTGGAAGGTAACTAAGTACATTTACTTAAGGTATTTGTTCTTTACTTGAGTATTTCTATTTTATGACACTTGACACTAGTTCACTACATTTCAAAGGGTTACACAGGCTATTTGATAACTTAAGTTCCTTTGATGATTCCAACTAATAATACAAAATATAATCAACTAACACTGGACAAAAAGGACCTGTATAAGGAAAGATCCATTAGTATACAAGTTTATGGATCTGTATCCAGATCTGTATATTATGTCATATTATATGATTATAAAAATAAATGTGTCATGTGTCAGATCCAGTCTTCAATCTTCAGTCCGTATCTTTGATAAAGACAAATGTATGTTATTTTTGTGCATTTATTCAAATAATAAATTATGATCATTTATTATATAGCTTAAGATAGGATAAAACTATATTGATCCCTTGGAAAAAATCACAAGCAACACATACACACTATGCAAAGTAATTAAAATTAGACCCACATTTACAAGCTGCAACACATTAATCAAATAATGCTTTACTAAAATTCTACATAATGAATATTTTTGGTACTTCCTGCATGCACAGTGTAACTTTACTCTTAGAAAATGATGTAATTAACTGACTTTAAAGGATAAGGCTAGTGATTCGTCACAAATCCCCCCAGGGACTTATGTGTTAATCCATCTCTCAATACTTTCTTCTTCTTCTTCTTCTTCTTCTCAATACTTCTTACCCTGCCTGTGGAGCAACCTACAGTAGCTGTCTTCATTGTAACAGCCCTTCTTCACAGCAGACATTTTGACTTAGTGGCAACAGCACTACGTGGAACTAATAAACGATGGCTCCTTTCTCTCCAAGTTCCCCAGTAAGACATGGCAGTGTGACAGTGAGCCTGCAGGCACAAATCCAGGACCCTGAAACTGAAGCAAATTCAGCCATCATTCATTTTATTATTCACACCTGTGCTTTGCCTACTGTGGCATGTCAAAATGTCCTCTGTGAACATGAACAGTGCAACAATAGAGGTAAAATGGTGGAGAGGAATAAGTTATATCATGCTTTGGCTACACAGAGAATACTTGTTCAAAGTTGGATTTGTTTTTTAATGGGATTTTTTGACTATAAGAATATGTAGTATATCACTTCTACTACTGTAACTGCAGGCGAGCATTGTTCATTAGACACTGCTGATTATTGAGGAATTGTCTACACACACTTCCTCAGCTGTTCCTACACCACTGCTCTTTGCTTTTTCTGTCCTCTGTGTCCTTAGTACCTCTCTGTCTTTCTCTCACTATCTCACCCACTGAAGATCCCCCACTCTCTCCCCTATTTACTGCATAAGAACACTGACGCACACACACCTGATACACCATCATTCTTATTCACAAGCCTACATTTCAAGCAGAAATGGTTTACAAAAGCTCTTCTTTGACTTTTGACTCTTAGTCTGGTACAGTGAAACTATTTCACACTTTCTTCCTTTTTAGACACACACACACACACACACACACACACACACACACACACTTACACCCATACGCAAACACACATATGCAGACACACACAGGAAACAC